CAGGAATGCTTCGGAAACTGGCAATCCAGAAAGAGGAAGATCTGCAGTCGGTGTGTGAAGTGGCTGCCCACGTGTTCAGTGACGGAGTAACAAACTGGGGTCGAGTGGTGACGCTCATCTCGTTTGGCGCTTTTGTTGCGAAACACCTGAAAAGCATAAAGCAGGAGAAGTGCATCAGCTTGCTGGCAGGGATCATCACGGATGCACTCGTCTCATCTAAGCGCGAGTGGCTAATGAGCCAGGGAGGCTGGGTGAGTCACTACCTGTCCCAGACACTGTGAGCTTTTCAGAACAATCCATTATTTTGCTATTTCTGTGACTTGCTCATTGGCAACTGCGTGTGTCAACGAAGCACGGATGACTCACCACTCCAGTTAAAACCACAGTCTGAAACAGCTAGCTGGAGTTCTGTGTTTCAGGAGCTCCTTACAATGAGCTGCCTGAAGTAGTTTTCACCTTAAAATGTGTTCCCACCCAGTGTGGAGGGAGAGCATTTCCAAAGCTGAGTCAATCCTGGGTGCGCTGAGCTTGCTTGAAGCTGGTTTACAGCTGTTTTGGTGCTGTCTCCCAAGTGCTGCCTCTGCAGGGGGGGCTGTAGCTGTAATGAATTTGGGGAGGCGCACACAGCGGATGTGTTGGGTACGCTGTATCCCAACCAACTCTGCCCGGGAATAAGACTTTTCATGCCTTTGCGCCAAAGAAGGGTGGCTGATGGGGAAATGACTTTCACTTCTTTCTCCTAGGAGGGCTTTGTCGACTTCTTTCGACTTGAGGACCTAGAAGGAAGCATCAAAAACGTACTGATGGCGTTTGCAGGCGTGGCTGGACTGGGAGCGAGCTTAGCCTACATGATCCGGTGAGCCAGGGTATGCTGCAGAGGAACAAAACTCTGGGTGGACCAGCTCTGTTTGGAGCTGGTGAGCTGATAGCTTCCTCCTGTGAGTACTTACGAAGCTGGACTTGAGTGACCCAAGGAGAATATCTAGACATCCCCTGAGCAATCATTTCCTAAGAAGGAAGGTGTGATCCAGTCAGATTGTGAGTACTGATGAGGATTTATTGTTTTGGGAACAGAAAGTGAAAGACTTGATATTCTGCTTCCTTCAAGAGGATGATGACAGAAAGCTCAAGTGGACTGCTTCAGTTTTATCCTGGAGGGAACTGATCTGCTTAGCAGCAAGCCAGTGAGCACCAGCATCTCTTATATGGACTGAAGCCTCCTGGGCTTGGCATGGCAGCTGTGTGCGGAGCAGATGTTTTCAGGGTTGTGGCTGTGAGTTCCTGGAAATAGCATCGTCTGCTGCTCGTGTCCTGCCTAAACTTGCAGCTTTTCTGTTGGAGCAGAAGTGTTGAATGCTGGGTGTTGTATGAGCCTGCACCTGCCCACAGGTGTGCTGGCCAGCCTGCCTTTGGCCTGCGGCTCTCTCCAGCAGCTGTAGAGCTGTGCCAGCAGCCAAGAGGTGCGGCCTGTGCCAGAACACGGGGCGTTGCAGCTCTGCATGGCCCTTCCTTCCCAGCAGGGCTTCAGCCAGGTCCCTGAGCAGGCAGAGGAGGGTCAGTGGCAGGGGGGTGAGGTGGGGCTCAGGGTGATAACCACAGCCAGCTGTGGTGTGGCCATGCTGGCCTGTCTGGCTGATAGCAGCTACACCGATGCGACTCACCACACACAGGCAGTTTAAAAATAGGGAGTGTATTTGTAAGTATGTAAAACCCCACATGGGGTGGGGAGGATGTAGAGAACCTGTAAATAACTATAAATCTGTAGAATATGTACATTTTTACAGAGCTTATGATAAAAGAGGAATTTTGAATGTGGTAGAACTGCTTATGGGTGCACTGTACTTCACTCCTCATGCAAAGTAGCATTTTTGTGGCGAAACCTTTTCCTGCCTTGACTCCAAGCGCGCCTTTCTCTGATGTACTTAAGCAACATTGCCAGGGAGCGTAGCAAGGATCAGTGGCCTGGTGGACTCTCATTGTGCCCACGGCTTGCTGGCAACAGTTGATGTTTCTTTTTATTTTAATATTTTTGGTTATTCTAGCCCTTCTAGCGGGTGGGAAGCCATGGAAGTTGGTATTGGTTGCTTCCTTGTCTTCCCTTCATTTTGATCCTTGAAGCCATGAGTCAAACGAAGCTGATGTTTGAATGTAAGTTTTCTGGAACAAAATAAAAACTCGTCGGCTTGGATCTGCAGCTTGTGCAAGTCTGTTGGTGCCAGCCCTGGGCTTGATCCCTGTTTCCCCGGCTGGCAGCGTTTCTTCTCAGTGGGCTTGCAGCGTCCATCCACTTCATGATGTCTGACCGTGGATCGGTTGGTTTTTGAGCTTGACTCTGTGGGACCTGGTCCTGCACAGCGGGGAATGTTCTCATCCACAGCGCTTGACCTGCAGCCTGAGTGATGCCTGAGGGAAGCCCAAGTGGAGAGCGGAAAGATGGTGCTATCGTCAGGCCTGCTTGTTTGCTGAGCAAGCACTTAGTTTTGTCAATAAATGTCTTTTTTTCTCAATCCTCTAGTATAAAACTTGCTCTTTCCTGTAACGAGATGCTGATGTGCTAAATGCTCCTGCACTGCTTTGCTATTGTGGGCTTGTTTGCGTGGATGCTGCCTGTGGGGCACCCCACAGCTTCTTATTAGAAAGCCACTGCAGGCTGTGGAAAACAGTTTTGCGTGTCTTGTGTCACCTGTTGGGGCTCCCCAGAGCTGTTCTGTGCTGAGACTCCTTCACTGTGTACGTGGGTGGGGAAAGTCCGTGAGGTGCCTTGTGCTCAGTGCCTGCACGCTCTGAAACAGCTTTTCTTGCGGCGCACCGAAGCGTGCTGTGGTTCTCTGGGTGCCTGCACTTGGTGGGTGGAACTTGTCACCTTCTGCGTCAGCATGGCGGGGACCCACAGCCCTGAGGAGAGGGGACTCTTCCTGGAGCCTGGCAGTGAACCATGCTTCTTGCCCCTTCCAAGGAGGAAGACTTGCTCCGTGTGGCTTTGGTCGTCTGACGTCTTGTCCCTCCTCTGCCTGGGTGAGGAGGAGGCCTCTTCAAGGAGACCCTGCTCCGCTGCCTTGCAGCCCCTGACTTTCAGTTCCTGCAGGTTTGGATGAGGTGCATGGCCTGCCTGGGGCCAGGGGACACAGCCGGGTTATGCACAGGCCTCACCTGGGCAGTGGTTTGATGAATGGCTTCCTCCTGCTAGAACCAACTCTACTCTGGGAGCCTTGGCTGGAAAATTCCCCTCCTGAGGGGCAAAGCACTTCACTACCCCGAAAGCTGCTGGTGGTTCTAGCCCTGTGGGCCACGAAGCCTTATGGCAGGTGGAGAGAGGCAGCAGCTTCCTGCAGTGCTGGCAAGGCCCTTGCTATCATGAACAAGCTGGTGGTTCAGCATTGCTGCGCAGAAATTGCAGAATGAGATGGGATCGTTGGTGGTGCTTTGTTTGTGGTGGTTTTTTGTTTGTTTGTTTGTTTTTCTTAATGCCATGTCTTGTGGGCTGATTTGGGCCTGTTTGGTCCCCTGGGGTGTGGCGAGGCCCTCATGCAAAGCTGGGGAGGAAAATATGCAAAGGCGCTGGCCAGCTCAGAGGGAAATGGGGCTGCTGGTGCTTCCTGGAAGCCGCAGTGCTCTGATAACGCCTGGCTCAGCGCTGATAAACCAGCCACTTCCTCTTCTGCTCCAGTGACGGCTTTTCGCAGAAGCCGGTTTTGACTTCTCTGAACCTTTTGTGTAAATAAGCGGGTGTGTGGGGACAATTAAAGCGGTCGCTGTGTCTGATGGTGTGTGTAGGGGTTGCAGGTTAAGGGCATCTTCAGTACCTAACCTGGCAGATTTGAGGTCTCCCTTTAGTACCCCTGGGAAAGAGGGCAAGTGGGGGGGTTTCTTGCTATCAGCTGAGTGTTTGGGTGCAGCCCTGTGGTGGGAGGGGAAGTGTTGAAAAAGCAGTACCTTCTGTCCCTGCTGCCTCCTCAGCACAAAACGAGGCTGAACCAGGGTCTGGCCCTGCCAGGCGGTCATTCAAAAGCTCACATTGATGTTGCTTATGGGTGGGGGTGGCTCATGTAAATACAAAAAATTCCCTGGTCATGCAAAATCCCCTTCTGGCTTTGTGGCCCTGATACTGTGTTGAGAGCATGGATAGTATTTCACGTTGTTTCTTGTAACAAGAGCCCGGGCTGCTTTTGCCCCAAGTTTGTTCCCTTTTCTGGGGGTTCCAGGAGTTTAGGGGCTGCTCAGTAGCTGTCCCCCTCTGTTGTAGTCACAGTGCTTCCCCTCACAACCTGCCCTGGGGGGATAACGGCCCTCCTGTAATGAGCCTGTCAGTGGAAGGTGTGCGGTCAGGCTGGCTGGGTTGTTGTCTGGGGTCCCATCCTGTCTGCCCAGGGAGGGGATGCTGGCCTCTAGTGGGCTTGCATCCCCTCCCTAGGCTGAGTCCAGGGGTTGGGCCCTGCTCCCGAAGTGCCAGGGACAGGTGCTGGGGTGCACCCTTGGGTCCTTGCAGAGCTCTGCTGCTCACAGTGTATGGGGAAGTCACGTGGGGCTCTTCCAGGAACCCAGGCATCTGGTGCGGCCCATCCCCCTCCCAGGCCCTGAGGTGACACCAGGTCGGTAGCAGATGTGCCCCCTGCCTTCCTTGGCTCACAAGCCTAGGCCTGGGCAGGAGACTGCCTCGATGAAGGGCCACCCTTCTCTTCCTCCTCCTCCTCCTTGTCTGGCCACCTCAGTCTTCCCCAGCATGGAGGTTATGAGGGGTGTAGGGTGTGTGCAAGGGGACATAAACAGTGTGAGTGTGGGATACAGGGGTGCTTGTGGAGTTTTAGGAAGTGATGGATATGGGGTTATGAGGCATATAAGGTGTGCGTATGGGGCTGAGGGGCTGTGCAGGTTGTGGGTGGGCCCTGCAGTTACAGGGTTCATAAGGTGGGGGGCGGCATAGGGATGGGTAGGGTATGGACACTTACACATGTGTATATGTACTGATGAGGGTGAGGGGGCAGAGTTTGAATGCATGTGTGGGGCTGGCCCAACAGCAGGGCTTAGGGTAGAGTGGAGCTGGTGTGAGCCTTGTGCGGTGTCAGTACAGGGCTGCTATGGGGCTGTGGCTGCAGACCTGCCCAGGCAGGAACCAGCAGTGATTCAGCCAGGAATGTGCTGGTAAGACACAGTGTTCTGGCAGTGCCTGAGCCCACAGCCAGCATCCAGTTTCCAGCCCCCTGTGCACCCAAGCACTGATGCATGTCTCCTGTAGGGTGCCTGGGAGCGGGGTAGGGAACAGGCAGGACACCGGGGTTTCCCCGAGCAGGACACTGGGGAGAGGCTGTGGAGCAGCAGAGCCCTTGATGGGGACATGTGTGACACGTGGCCCATTGCCCCACGCTACCCAAAAGTCACTGTGGAGACAGCGATGATGTAGTGGAGGACCAGCTGAGGGAGAATGGGGATGTTATGGGACAGTTCACAGTCCCCTGGAAACTGATACTGGGGGTGGAAACAACCCCAAAATTTTTGTGCTCCTGGGAAAGTCCGATCCACTTGGATTGGTCTAGATTGAAAGCAAAATAAAAAAACCAAAACCACCAAGCCCCCCCCCTTTTCATGCACAAAAACCAAAACCAGAAGTCAAATATTTTAGGGGGTGAGTAAGAAAGGGGGGGTTGGGCCTCGAGGCAGTCTGGGCGTGTGATGATGTCACTGGAAAGTCATTGTGGGGGCAGTGATGATGCAGTGGAGAAGCAGGTGAGTGGGTGTTATGGAAAGGGCTATGAGCCCCTGGAAATTCTATGGTGGGGGAGGTACACGTTCTGGGCATGCAGCGGCGGGGCAGGGGGAAGTCTGAAAAAAGCTCTTGGGAAAGTCTG